AAAATGATTACAAGCTCAGATAAAGTCGACAAGCTTCTACTGGAGTCAACCAGGATTGGAGTAAGATCTCGAAGACATGGTAGGTTCTGGAATAGAGTTAGGTATAGGTAATTGGCAATTCTGCAGTTAGTTCGCCAAACTAATCGTAATTGTATTGTTTGAATTATACACACTATGTTGTACCTGAATAATTATTTCTAATTTTTGTACCCATCTCAATTGTACTCAATCTTAACGATTCATACTAAAAGCATTTCATCAATAACTAAGTTCAAAAGGTGAAAACGTTCGTAGCAAAATTGCTTACAGTGCATTTAATTTATATAAGAAACATGGTCTCAGAACAATCTGCGGTTGCAGAAACGTAAACTGTTGTAGCGATAATAGAAACGATGGGATGTTTTTATATGTTAGAGGTACCATCAGTTTCTCGGTTAACGTACGCGAAAATGGTGATTTTATTGACACAATAGTTATTATGTTTAATACCTGCCTGCATGTTTTCTGAAAAACCTTTGAAAGTAATGTCTTATTATAGATCTCAAAAGTGCATTGCCAAGATATTGTATATTTACACCGATTACATTTTGGAGGGTTACCTTGCACCATTTGACGGTGACCCAAGCGTGAGTTTCTTGGAAACATCAGTACCACTAGAGCTTAGCGCAATTGTGGAATGCTATGATTTCAAAAGCTGCTACTGGTGAACCTAAAAGTGAGACTTCTCTAGATTTTGTCTTCGATAGCATGCACAAATTGTAATAGAGTTTGTAATAGAGATAATATTATTATTTGCACTGTTGATCATCAAAAAAAGTTTATAAAGAAACTTTGTACACATACTGTGATTATAATAAGATAAAACTGGTAATTTTCACGAGATTTTCATTTTCTACGTTATCCCAGAATCTCCCGGAAGATGCATCGGAAGTTATGTCATGTCTATCAAACGGTGTGTTGCATGCAATAACTCAAATAAAGAAGGGAGCGTTAATAAAACACCAAACCGCTCCTTGGATAAATGCAAATCTGCATTCCCTGATAAAATTAAAAAATAAATTTCTGACCTTAAGAAGGAAGAGTGCCGGAACATTAAAATTGCTACGAAGGAAGCTTTGAACAATTATCACGTAGGCAATCTGTAAAAAATACAATATGACGTTAAAAAATGCTGAGGAAATTCCTAACACGGACTGCAGGCAGAAGCACCAAATTTGAATTAACACTGAGAAATAACTTTGGCCAATATATAATTGGTGATCTGGATAAATCAAAAAGTTTTAAGCAGTATTTATAAATTCAGTGCAAGAATTACCTCAACTGCTCAATTTGATAACGATACGGAGGAAAATTGGAATGCACTCCGACCAGTTGATGGATATTGTAAGTATTTTAGACCGGCGCAAACTAATGCGGCAGCGATTGGTGGTTTGATTTTGAGCTTAGATAGCTTAATAAGATATCGTAGAGATTAATATTTGAATGAAACTATAAACAGTTATACTTTTCCTGGTTTACTTATAGTGTAGAAAATATGTCGTTGCCATAAGATTATCATGTAAGTATGGTGAAAACGAATCACCCAATATTTATTTTGTCTAAAATCGATAAAATATTCGAAAAATAATGCTACTATAAGCCTTTAACATAATAATCTTGTTTCATTTCCTTTTTCCTAAAAGTGAATACAATGATGCATTGGCAGGATTGTTAAGCTCTCGCGCGGGAAAGAGTTTAATGACTTGAAGAAGAAGAACGTCGAATGAAAAAGAAATAAGTTGTTGAATTTTGAAAAAGTAATTATTATTTGAAGAAAGTAGAAAAGTTTTGGTTGAAAGAAAAAATAATTGAAAGTTTGATGGTTTTGATACTTGCCAGGAAGAGAAAATAATTAACTCAAAAACAGAAAAGAAAAAAAAGAAAAGAATGTAAATTAAAGAAAAACAGCAGATGCACTGATCGTTAATTTAGCGACAATTCTCAATGAAATACATTATATGAATATACATTGCTATAATTGAAAATTACATTAAGCGCACAAAACGACATACAAAAAAATCTACTAAGAATAAATTTGGCTAAGTTATCGTGAGAAGAGAAAAAAAAATGCTGAATGTATCTAAAGTTAGTAAAAGATATAAGCCAAGAAAAGAGATATGAATAATCGATTAAGAACAAAACGCCATTCATTGCGTTGTCATCAAAAACTTGATATAAAATAAATTCTTGTTTGTTTTTTTGATATAGAATGAGGAAAAAGTTATCGGTACTTTGAAAGAAAAAGGAAATCTGGCTTACATAGAAAATTAAAGATAATCTGAAAATTGCACTTAATGTCACATAAAAAGGTAGCATATTTTAGTAGAAAAACAGTAGAGATTTTACCTATCGTGAGTTTTACTGAAATACACATCAGTCATTATGTGTAGTTGCGTGTTAGTTAAATTACTTTTTTTTTTACCTAAATATGGTATTGCCCAACCAATATCGCCATAAACATAATCGTCTATACGTGCAATTCATTGTATTGCAACAACAACAAAAGCAATTTCGTAATAAAGGCGTAATAAACTAAGTCAACATTTTCTTCGTCATGGTGCGCTAACACAACCAAGGAACCAGAAAAATAAAAGGACTAGAAAAAAAGTTTGGTTTAGAGCGAATATATACACAGAGTATAAAGACAGAAAAAAATTTGGTACTTATGTATTAACGCCCCTCGGCAAAAATATTATTATTAAAGTTAAAATTTTTTTTCTTCTAAATATAATAAAAATAATAATATTTTAATAGTTTTTAGTTTAATAATAATAATATTTTAATAATAATATTTTTGCCGGGGTGGCGTTAATAAATATGTACCAAAAAATTTTTGTACGATGTTTTAAGAAAAGAGCGGAAAACATATTTTGTTAATAATTAATTCGTAAGCAAACATGTATGAATTCAGTTTAAGTAAAGAATAGTCTGAAAGAAAAATAAAAGAAACTAAACTAATTCCTAAAAACTGCAAAATTTGTGAAGAAACTTTTACTTTTTTGTTCTTACTATATGCGATATTGAGGAAAATGCCAAAAGACAACGTTAATCATAAAAATTCAACCATACAAAAGGTACCGCAAAAAAGTCGCAAACTATACTTTTAAGAACACAAACTAGACGAAGAATTGTATGCCAATTGGCTGCAATGGAAAGTATATCATTTAGACGATGCCAATTAATGTGTTCATGATACAGTGGATACAGTCAAAGTAAGAATGTGTGAATAAACAGGAGAGCGTTGTTGTTAAGCTACCAAGGACTATTAAGATGTTGGAGTTGACTCGCATATGTCAGTTACTTGTACTAATTTAGGGTAATTTTGGTAATGTGTATTTGTATTGACGTTTTCTATAAGCACGAAGCATTTTGGAATTTACTTTGGGGTGCTGTAAATATATATTTGTAATCAAAGTATTTTATATTATAGATTGTTATTCTTAAAAATATGCCAAGTTCTCTTTTTATAATGAAAGGAAAGTAGATTGAAAGGAGTCTTCGGCCCCAACTTCGGAGTCTACCACAAACTTGTTTTGGGACTGAAGGGAGACCAAAAGACTGGATGGGTATTGAAAGGGGCACATGGGATCTTCGTTTGGTAGGTTAAGATTTCGTCTGTTCGCATGTTAGATAAGCGAAAGTTACTGGCAATTTCTTTTAGGTGTAGCCATCCTAGGAGCATCTCTGAGCAAAAATATAGAACACCTCCTACATATCACGAACTACAGTAGCGCAAGGAAGAATTTTGGGACAATTATAATTCATAATTTTCTTGAATGATATAAATAACATTGGATTACATGGTCAAAAACAAATATATGCTGATTACTTATATCTGCTCTACCCATATAATCAGGATACTTACTTAGAATCGTTGGTTAATAGTGGCACTAACGTAATCCCAAATTATGCAAGACTTCATAAGTTGGCTTTGAACCCAAGCAAAACGAAAATTGCCACATTTAGACACCAATAAAAAGGAGAAATCATAATTACATTATCATACTAAATGCAAATATAATTTCAGAAGAAACTGCAGTGAAATAATCGTGAGTGCATCCACGGAACAACGTTCCTTAGCATAAGCATATTCATTAGCTTAAAACAATATTTTCTCCAATCATAGGCGTAATGTTTAAATTAAGACATAAACTAAATGAGAGGACGAAACTGTTAATATTTCAGTCATTATTTCAAAGGAGAAAAAGTTATTGATTCATTGTTTATGCCTATAAGAGGAATAACGACTTGAAATTTTTTCAAGTTCTGCAAAACGAGGCACTAAAAAATATATTTCGAGTGCCAATGGCGTTTTCAACAACATCGGTTTATAAGGACGTGGACCAAACATTTCCACCCGTATCTGGCCTACATAAAAAACAGCTGTTGATATACATGTACAAACTTGTGCATAATATAGGATCGCACACAATTCAGTTACAACAAAATGAACACCATTTTAACGCCAAACGTGGATCTGATATACGGGTAACAAGATGTCGCTTGGAAATTAAGAAATAGAGAATTGAGCATTAAAATGGTTTAGAGCATAATAGTTTGCCAATATTCCTTAAAAACTCACAATTTGTATCAAGTTTTAAAAAAGAACTACACATAGTACATGAAATTAGGCAAGTTGGTAGAAATTTTAATGAAGTAAATGTTTAATTGTCAGTCTCAATAAGGCTCATGTGAAGCAGAATCACGTTAATGTGTATATAAATATAATAATGTAAGTTTGGCGAAAATAAATAAAAAAAAATAATTATTCCAACTGAAGTTAAAATACGAAAAAAGTAAAACTTTATTATTAATAAAGTGGCCATGTGAAAGTATTTATTTTGATTTGTGAATTGAACAAATTTGTTGCATTTACTTTCGTATCAAATTTATTTACATCCTTTATGAAAAAAGAATATATCAAAAATTTCATATTGTAAATGTCGTTTTCTTTTATGTAGATTTCGATGAATGCAACAACAATAAATTTCACGACTGCTCTTCAAATGCACACTGCTTCAACCTTCAAGGCACCTACACTTGCAGTTGTCGTGAAGGCTTTATCGATCTCTCCAAAAATAACGTACATCCTGGACGTTTGTGTTCGGCAGAAATAATTGGTTGCGCTCAATGTCAGTATCAGGGTAAATGTACTTTAAGCGGCTTAAAATCAAATAGCTACATATGCGAATGTTTCCTATGGTACACAGGAGCAAAATGTGGCGTCAATTTGAAAATGTTTCTTATAGGTTTTATTGCTGCTGGATCTTTTTTACTTAGTTTGCTATTCTTTTCTGTGCTACTGACATATATAAGACGCAAAAAAGTTTGTGGTGTAGATCCTTCCATTTTGACATGCATAACAATACCGGATCATCCAGATTTCAATAGAGACAAAGAATTTCAATCGACGTCTCCGCACTGTGCCAGCAAATACTATAATTCTTCATCCAACTGCGTACGTAACGTTTCTGGTGCATTGCCTACAGCAAAATCTAAAAAAAAAGGCATTATATTGGAAAAGTGCGCCATAATCAAAGATTCCAGTAGCGATTCAAGCGATAACTCTGTGGTTTCTACTATGAGAACCGTAAGTTCATAACCTATTTAAACAAGTAATTAGAATAGTGAAAAATGTTGGTTGTCGCTACTAGTACTGTGTGGCGCGATCGGGTAAACTGAAAACTATTAAGAGCAACTGAAGAGTTTGCGACAATTATATACAACACATTTATATATTATGGACACATACTAAATTTCAGATTGTTGCGATTCCAAAACGTATTAAATATAAAACCTCTGCTCCATCATGTCCACTGTCTGTAATATTTTATGGTTTCTTTTGCCCCCTTTATATTGAAATACATCCACTTTCCATGGGTATTTCTTTTATCTTTCCTTTTCTCTCGAGAATTCATAGAAAAGGTGTTACCATACAAAAATTTTGTGACAGTTAATTATCTGCACTAAGCGTTGTCAAAAGTACGTATCCAGGTTTCAAAGTAAAGAACAAAGTCGTTGGTAACAGTTAACAGATTTTAATCTCCTAGAGTAGAACTAAGTTCTCAGCAGCCCTGTGTGCGTTGTGAGGTTTTTGTTTTTTTTGTTGAAACTTATTTACAAATCTCTTTTTTCACAAATTTCTTGGTATCTTCTACTGAATTATATTAACGGTATTTTTGTTACACTGTTTACAGAAATCCTAACACAAACTCAATTTTATATAAAATTCATCCTGTATAGCATAGTTTCAATTCCGTATTACTTGATGGGGGATTTATAAAGAACGCCAAGGCTTTGCAAGAGAGATAAAAGACGTGTGTTATTATAAAGGCGAAATTTGGGTCGGTTTACGGTTCTCTTTAGCGTATTATGGTACAACACGAAACATAAAAACGATATGCCTTTTGGGTTGATGGTACTGGATAACTTCTGTATCGAGTTAGGCTTCTCTTTCGTTGCATTTACAACGAAATATTTGTGAAATCATCATCATAGCAAAAATAATGCGTAGAGGAAATAGAAAATTATATAAGTAAACAAACGAAATATAACTTTGAAAAAAATATTTATAAAAATACAAGTAAGACAAGACTGAGCTTTAAATACCCTACACCACATTTTCTAACACAATTCTTATTTTTATTATAGAACACAAAAGTTATATCCTGTTTCAATGTAAAGGCAAGTTTTTCATGTGCATATTTCTGGGGAAGATGGCCCAAACCGCAACCTAACGTAGTACAACTTTAATCCTTACATAAGGCAGGATCCAAAAATAGGCGTAAATGTTCAAAATTTTGTAGGGTACATTTTTTTATGAAGATACTATAATATTATGGGTCAATTCACATCACATATTACATATTAAAATTTGCTGCTCTACAAAGGGTCAACTTACATCAAAATCTTTATCAGGTCGTATCTAAAAGGTCAGGTAGCATCCAAAAAATAGGCCGAGAAGGTCAAAGTTTGGTAGAGTTAATTTTTGCATGTTAAATTAATATTAAGATATAATTTTCTTCATGAAGCATTGAAAATTATAGCTATTTCTCGTGTAAACTTCAGTTTTCGTTATATGAAGATTCAAAAATTGCCCGAACCGGTCCAAACTTTCCATACCAATTTAGAATGCCCAAACATTACCACTCAGCCAATTTCGCCGAGAAATTTTGAAAGTTACGATTTCTTCTCATATAACGACTTTTCAGAATAGAGCGTTATGTGGGGAGTGGTCGAAAAGTGGACCGATCCGAACCATTTTAACCGCTTTCGTCCTTGGGCCAAAACACGTCACTGTAGTAAATTTCATCAAAATGTCTCAAGAATTGCGACCTGTGGCTTGAACACAAATTCACATGGTCAGACATCAGACGGATAGACAGGCTTAGATCAATTCAGATAATGATTCTGAATCGATCAGTGTAAGAAAAGGTGGGTCCATCTTAAGCCCTTCTGCGCGTTACATACGACCGCACTAACTTAATATACCTTGTACCACGAATGGTGCAGGATATAATTGAAATCTGTTGAACCAATAACAAATAGAACAAAGTTCAACACATAATATATGTAACCTGAAGCAACTAAAAAGCAAAGGATCCTGTCATATTGTACCCATCATTGCGTACAAGTCTGCGTAGAGAGGCGACGGCGGGTGAAACTCATGTAAATATCCAAGGATAATCTTGAGCAATGTTGTGTCTTTGCCACAAAGGTAAGTTTATATACGGTTTCCATTTAACATATTCCTCACGCAATCATGTACATTAAAGATTTGTCTAATGTTTTCGATTAAGCAAGTATAGGTAGAAATTTACGTCGAAAACTTTAAGAGCAACTTTAAAAAAATTGGTGAAAAAATTAGGAAGTATATAAAATTAATGTGAATCAATTGATTTAAAAAAACATCCTTTAATTAAACTGTCTAATTTTTTCTTTTAATCAATAACTTGATATTTTTAATTTCCATATTAAATTTGTCTGGGTGTAGACTGCCCAGGCAGAGAATATGGCATTTCCAAGATATTTGTTAGTGCAATCCTATATATCCAAATTTTTGTTGCTCCCGTGAATTTCTTCGCTAATTTCACAACTATTTATCCCTTTTCACATATTATGGTACCAACAAATAAAAGCATAGAACGTACTTAGTTTGTTTTATTTTTCTTGTTAACGTTTTGGAAATTGTGAAGTTAACATAAAGCTCACTAGTTCAACATGAAGCTCGCTAGCTATTTTGCTTTCGAGCCAGTATATGTTATTCTACATTCGATATCGAACAAACGCTCATACACTATCGAGTACAATCAACCCATTTCTTGTTAACGGTTGTTCGACAACGAGAGCCATCAACCCAAAATGCAAATTCGCTATCCAGTTAGCTCGCTAACGACCCCGTAAATCGATTTCTGGAGTAAAGAAAAAAATGAATCGGAAATACAAAGTCATACAAAGAAAGCATGCAAAACAATCGTCACATGAAGAACAAAATACTAAGAAACGTTTATATTGATAGCATATATTCCGAATGTTTTCACTTTTTACACACTACATCACTTGTGCTACAAGGTATATTAATTACTGCGGACGTATGTAACATCTAGAAAGGCTTAATATAGGCTATCCTCTTATTATACTGATCGATTCAGAATCATTATCTGAGTTGATTTGAACCTGCCGTGTGATTTTTGTCCATGTAAAGTTGTGTCCAAGATACAGGTCGCAATTTTTAAAATATTTTGTTGAAATTTGGTACATAGACGCACTTTGGCTCAAGAACGAACGCTATTCAAAATGGTTCGATACGGTCTACTTTTTCGACCATTTGTTGCAATTGCAATTTTCAAAATTTCTCGGCAAAAATGGCTAGGTAGAGCTAAGTTATAGGTGGTGTTCTGTATGAATTCTACTTCATTTTGCCAATGGTGAGCACGTATGAATGAAAAATTTATTTTTAATTTTCGCTTTTGGACTTATTCTTAATTATATCTATAATCGCACCGACTATTGAATGGCTTCTAATTTTTTTTTTTTTTTTTTTTTGCTTTACCTATGCACAGTAACTTTGAAGAACTTTTTTTCATATTCTTTAAATTAGACGAAAGCAAAATTTTTGGAGTTGCCTATTTACATTAGGGGTTACAAGAAAAGTTTTTTTAGAATAATATTTTTTAGAAAAAATTGCTGAAAAAGAAAAACAAGGTTTATATATAATTTGAAAACTTGTAAAGACCCCGAAAGACGATCAGCACATGAAACTCAGCTAAACTAAATTACCAGCCAAACGGGGATGACTCTTAAGAATAAATCTTATACTAGGTTAGGGAAATTAAAGTATATATATTATTGACTTAATTAAGAGGGAAACACCAAGAAAAAATTCACGTTTTTCAAGTGTTTGTTTCGAAAAACAGAAGCAACCTATTTTCATGAGGAGGCAGACAGACGAGGGGATCCAGACCCAAATTCCCAAGGGCAAACAGACGGAATTGGCTTTGAATGGATTCAATTGAACATACGTAATACCTTTAAGAAGGAGATCACACAACAGAGGCGTACTTAAGTATTGGTGTAACGTAAGCATCCTTAAGCTCTTTGGACCACCTGTTAATGAAGCCTAGGGTAGAATTTAGAGACTTTATTTAAAGAGAGCTTGACGTGCAAATTAAAACATAATTTTTGAATAGAACCGTCGAATAGAACTCCTAAATCAATTAACAATTGTACGTTTTCCATCTTGTGAGAAATATTCAGTATTGAGTGGCTGCCTCTATGAAGAAGAAAGCTTCTTGCATTTTTTTAGATTCCATTTCATAAAATTTGACGAGCACCATGTAACTAAATTATTTAAGTCAATTTGAAGTTGATGCGATTTCGATTCGAAGGAGAAGGAAGAAAACAGTTTAACATCGTCAACGTACTTTAAGATATGATTGGATTTAATCACTGAGAGGAGATCAGAGAGTACCCATTTCACTATTTACAAGCGGAAGCCAGAGGCTTGGAGTTTGAAGACCAAAGTCAAGGGCTTTACTGAAATCAGTATATACGACATCCTTGGAAGAGTCACTAGAAAAAGCTTTGAAAACATGGCATGTAAACTCTAAAAAATTAGTAACAATTGAACTTCCTTTTAGAAACCTATGCTAAAATGGAAAAATATAAGATTTGATACGAAAAGCTAAATCCTGAGTAACAATTCGCTCAAACTATTTAGGTACTATACTCAACTTGCAATTTTTCATCACCAAGCATAATGTATCAAAAATGAGATTTAAGCAGTAAAATATTAGTTTTTTTAAAAATCAAGGAAGTTAAGAAGCACTAGAATGTTTCAACGGTCCATTATGTATGTAATGAAAGAAATGCAGATTTCTGGCTGGTACGAATCCTCAGGTAAACTAAAAGGTGTACACTAATTTACAGCTATCTCTGGGAAATTGGTAAAGCCAAGATCACGCAGTCGGCCGTTACAGTTAGGAGTACGGTTGTAATAAAGTAAATTACAATAAAATAATTCATTGAAAAACACAGTAGCTCTATCAGATGTTGAAGTAAGGACCATACAGTCAGAATTATCACTATAAC